GTCTGACTCCCTGCCAGCTCCCAGATCAGCTTCTCTGATTGGTTGATGAGGCGCGTCCAGCAGCTAAATATACATTTTTCCAACTCCAGCAGCTGCTGCCTGTGAAGCGCGTCATGAGCTCCTCAGAAGCTCATTAGCTGCTGCTCCTGCTGCTCTAGATGCTGCAGGATCTTGTGATGCACCTCGATGTCCGTCAACCATAAACTTTGCATGTAAACTAGCTGCTTCTGCTGCTCAAATTGTGATCATAGCATCAGACTTTACTGTGAGGAACTGCAGGACAGCTCTATGAAGTAGCGGCATCAATTCCACGGTACTGCCAGCAGATGGCGCACACATCTTTTTAAGTCTGCCTAAATAGGAAACTATCCAAACACCATCAGGACGGATGCTTGATGAATATTACCTTATTTTATCAGGATCCAATTGTTCTTCAGCTTTTTTGTATAGAAATATAATCAAACTACATTGGAAACGCTGTAAAAACATGTATTGTTCTCAGTTTATATCTCTTTTATCACCATTTTAAAAAACACGATTTTCCAGAACACCTTAGCAGGGCTGAATAAAAATCCTGTATCTGATCACAGTGGTATATTTTTGGTTTAAAAGCCCTTAACCTTTAGATCCAGACTAAATCTATTCTCATTAATCAGAAGAAATCTCCTGGCATCACACCAAACGCTTTCCTTCTCTGTTATTACTTCAGCTCAAAGCTGTCAAGTGCTCCATTAGCTTTGAGTGCAATCATTGTGTAGAACTTCCAATCTTGTTTCCAGCCTTTCTCGATAGTTTCCTGATATATTTAGAGGCAAACGTCACAGTCGATTGTTCAGAGGAATATTCCCCTGGAGGGGTGTGTAGGATGAGGGGGAGGAACATCTTACCAGTGTGCTGTCTGCCACGATGTACAGCTCCATGTATTTAGTCGTACCCCTGGAATTTCTCTTCACCTGATTTCAAAGACAAATAGAAGACAAAAATATCAGGCCCAGAGCAGAAGCTGCAGTTTATTACAGGAACACAGGTGAGCCCAGCCGTTTAGGAGGCTTTGGAACGCCGATACGCTCGGCTCCTTACTGCAGGAATCACTTTGCTGAAAAGTTAGGAGCTGCTAATATAGCTGGGCAAAAAAAGCAAAAAACTGATAGTTTTTATTTTATTATGTTAAATAAAACATTTATACAACAGAGTATT